GGACTTACAACACAAAATTCCGAGGTTCAATTCCCCGTGGTGGACAACAGAAAGCATCAAATTAAAATAACCCTCATAAACTATACCTTGGAAGCTTATATATCGTTTAGTATTATTAAAAAAAAAAGGTTTTAAAATACATTTAGTTTGTGGATATAATTTATTCACATTTTGATAAGAAAAAAGAAACCACAATTAACAATATAAAATGACTGATTTTACGCAATTTTTTATTTATTTTTGTTAATTCTCTACACTGAATGTTGTTATAAGAAAGGACCAAAACTGCTTAGTGTGGTGCAATATGTGGACCCCTAGCGGCTGTGAACGGTACAAAAACAAGTAGGTAATTCGAAGGTTAATAATGTAACTACCACTATTGGTAGGAAAACACCTACAGTAGTAGTGCTTATGTTTTCCAGAATTTTAGGCTAGCAAAGGAGAGTGTTTTTCTTAGTTACTTTCATGTATTGAAGTCCATACTAAAAACAAAACCGACTCTAAACAAATACAATTTCATTTAGATAGTTATCAATACAAACAGTTTCATTATAATTGTTTATGAACTCTAATTGGCTGGTGGATTTCCAGAAGTCAATGTTCTTATTCACTTTATGAGAATAATTTTATAAACAGTTTGATGTGTAAAAAATTGACCAATCCTCACTGTTTATAAGCTGGTATCGATTTAGCAATCAACAGCCTTTTTCTCTTATCCGCTGTTGCAAAACACCATCAACTCTCCACTCACGAAACTAAAATCATCGCTAGAAACCTCACAATTATATACAGACAACACGTGCTCCACAACACTGGAAGAAATATCCTGCCTATTCTTTGTATGATCTGTAATACAAGTGTTTATCACCTCGTTTTAAAAAACAAAACCTATTGTCGTAATGTGTTCTATCGTTGGGTGGGTTATTTCGGAATATTTGGTAAAAATAATGCCAAATTCAGTCCACGTAACGATAACAAATTAATTAAATTAATAACGTTTGCTACAGGCTACGTTCACTTGTAGGCCTAACGTCACAAACAAACTTTTCAAAAAACTCTGAAACTATTGTACGTCTAACTTATTTATAAACTTACTTATGTAATTTCCTCGCTAATTGATCAATAACAAACACATTGAGTAACTTAACTACAGAAGCATTAACTCTAACTGGTAATGAATTGATAAACCCATTAATTGACTCATTGATTCACTACTTCACTTATTAACTCGAAGTATTTTCATCAGTTATTTTACTTTTACATTACGTTGACTAAAGATAATACTTTATCATATCAATTTAATTATTTAAGAATTGTTGTTACTTAAAATCTTTTAAACTCTACAGTAATAATTTCACAACGTTTTCTTTAAATATGATAGAAAAAAAAGCTTTCAAGAAGTGCATATATATATATGCGTGTATACTGAGACCACTTCTGAAACAATACGGATCAGCAGATCTGTTACACACTAAACTGTAAGTTGTTTATAAAATTGTTGTCATAAAAATATACTAAACAGACAGATGCTTTGTTGTTGACAGGGGTAGTAAAATCACAGTTTTAAAAGTGTAGCTTCTCCAACCCGTGGCTCAGCGGTAAGTCTGCAGGCTCACAACGCTAAAAATTGGGTTTCGATATTCGTGATGGGCAGAATACAGCTAGCCCATCGTGTACCTTTCAACTTAACAGCAAACAAACGTAAACAAACCTGTTATTATTTACCGGACGTAAATTCACGCTCTTAAAAGTATAATAAAAATATGTGATACCTACAAATACACCCTTGTTGTTTTTTTTTACAACGTGTGAATTCATACATAGAATGGAAGTCGCTAAGACTTACAGCCACTTCAGTCCTTCCGGATACCATAAAACTTCTGCAACGATCAATGTAAGCTGACCTAAAGACGAAAGACATTAGGCTTTCAAAACTTCTTCCTTTCCACCCGAGCTACTCTTGTAGACTAGTCCTTCAAGACAAGAGAGTTCACTCCGAACTAAACAGTTGCTGTCCGTTTCACCTTTGTTTTTCGTCATGTATTTTGTTTGTTTATTTACTGGATTTCGCACAAAGCTACTCGAAGGCTATCTGCGCTATTCGTCTCTAATTTTTGAAATGTTAAACTACAGGGAAGGCAACTGGTTAACATCACCCACCGCCAACTCTTGGGCTACTCTTTACCAGCCATTTTGTGTGGAGAAAATATAAAAATAATTTTATAACTATACAACTTTGTGATCATTTTTTTTATAAAATAATTAAGCTTACACGTGTTTGAAGCATGGACTCTTTAAAACATTAGCATAAAATTTTAATGTATGGACTCTTTAAAACATTAGCATAAAATATTAATGTATGGACTCTTTAAAACATTAGCATAAAATATTAATGTATGGACTCTTTAAAACATTAGCATAAAATATTAATGTATGGACTCTTTAAAACATTAGCATAAAATATTAATGTATGGACTCTTTAAAACATTAGCATAAAATATTAATGTATGGACTCTTTAAAACATTAGTATGAAATATTAATGTATGGACTCTTTAAAACATTAGTATGAAATATTAATGTATGGACTCTTTAAAACATTAGTATGAAATATTAATGTATGGACTCTTTAAAACATTAGTATGAAATATTAATGTATGGACTCTTTAAAACATTAGTATGAAATATTAATATATGGACTCTTTAAAACATTAGTATGAAATATTAATGTATGGACTCTTTAAAACATTAGTATGAAATATTAATGTGAGTATGATATGGCTTTTCTTTTTTCGAAGATGTAAATTTGCTTTTTTTGAGGGATGTTTCCCCTGTATCAGCACTTCACGGGTATAAAAGTGTGAAATCACTTTTGTTTTAGAGTACAAACTACTCCTTAAAAAAATAATAGACTTATTTATGTATGATGTTTGTGTCCTTAATGAAAGAAATTTGAATCGGAGCAACTTTGCAGGCGGTGCAAATATAACTAGTTTGTCTTATACAGCTCCATAAAATATAAGCTCTCTCTCTACCTCACCTGGAAACAGAAAATTCTTCCAAAATTCGACGTAAAAAAATAAGTTCCCTCTATCTCACTTCGGAACAGAAAAAAAACATCCGACATTCAATATCATTAAGTAGCATGCATTTAAAAAACAACGTTAGATCAAACAAGAGAGAGATGAGAGGGAGATATAGCTAAATTAAGAAGAGTTAGTGATTAATACAGAGCAATAATTTGATAATTCATTAGTATATTCTTACCCGTCTTCTTATTGCTATCACGCCTACAGTTTATCTTATAATAATTTAATACTCTTTATTCTGTCGGTGAGAATTTTCTGTTTCCAGCGTGGGTAAATGTAACATTCTACACTCAACTGTGTAACTAAATATTTGGTTAAAGCCCTGCCTAAAGACCTAACACACAAACGTCTTTCAGATAGTGAAGTTTGTCATTAGTCGCTTATCACGTAACGCAGTCATCCAACAAAACTGGTTATGTAAGTTGGTGTATGAATTATTACACTGGTGGTTAAGAATGAGATGTCACAGTCATTTTTGTCCAATCACGCCGTCCCTGAGCTATGGAAAGGAAGCTCTCTTTCTAAAAATCTGATTGTCTTAATTAAAACAAAAATCACGTTTCTCAGTGATAACGTTTGGCTACGGTCATTTGTCGAGTTACAGGACATAAGCCTTTAATTTATTATGAATGGTATCAAGGATAAATTAAAGGTGACATCAGCTAACATGACACGGACCCCCAGGGGTTCAGTGGTGAGGTTTGTTTGTTTGTTAAGTACAAAATTACGCCATAGGCTATGCTGTGGACCCCCACCCCAGAGTATCGAATCCAAATTTTTAGCGGCATAAGTACTCAGACTTACCGCTGAGTCAGTGGGAGACTCAGCGATAAGTCTTGGGGCTTATAATACTGAAAATCGGGTTTCGATAACTACGATAGGCAGAGCAGAGACAGCCCATTGTGTAATTATGCGCTCAACAACAAACAAACCATCTGACACGACAAAATCTTATGTTTACTGCTATCCCGAGGGGAAAAGTTAACAACCAAGTAGCTTTTAAATATCATAGTCACGGTGCATGTACACGGCCTTATCTCCATATGCTGACGTTTCAGACTTTACCCAGTTCGAACTTCTAGTGTAAGACGTGGTTAACGTTACTGCTTATGTCTTGTTAATTTCGAAACTATATATCTTATTAGTTTTATTTTTGCATTCACATATATATGATGTATTCACATTTTTCGACTTATAATAATCAAAAACTGTAAAAAAAACTGTTAAATCATATCTCACCTCAGTTTGTGGGGTAAAGAAAAAAAGTAAAATAAGCTGGTTATGTTTTTAAATTGAATTACAATAATATTAGTAAACTTTCACCATGTAAAATTAAACTGAAGTACAATAATATTAGTAAACTTTCACCATGCCAAATTAAACTGAAGTACAGTAATATTAGTAAATTTTCACCATGTAAAATTAAACTGAAGTACAATAATATTAGTAAACTTTCACCATGCCAAATTAACCTGAAGTACAATAATATTAGTCAACTTTCACTACGTAAAATTAAATTGAATTACAATAATATTAGTAAACTTTCACCACGTAAAATTAAAATGAAGTACAATAATATTAGTAAACTTTCACCATGTAAAATTAAACTGAAGTACAATAATATTAGTAAACTTTCACCATGTAAAATTAAACTGAAGTACAATAATATTAGTAAACTTTCACCATGTAAAATTAATTTGAAGTACAATAATATTAGTAAACTTTCACCATGTAAAATTAATTTGAAGTACAATAATATTAGTAAACTTTCGCCATGTAAAATTGTTAAATTTCAGACTTCAAACCAGTGGGTTGACTAAGTTGTTAGGTCCGTACTATAACATATTAAAACACACATTGTGTTATCAAGAAATTGTAATAAAAACTGACGAAAAATAAATGTTACACAATACCTTCATCAATGGTGTACTAAAAGTTTCTACGTTGATGTATATATACTTCTTTCGCCACTTATCCCCCAGGGGCTTAGCGGTAAGTCTGCAGGATTACGACGCTAAAAATCGGGTTTCGATACCAGTGGTGAGAACAGTACAAATAGTCCATTGTGTAGCTTTGTGCTGAATAAAAACCAAACCAAATCTTGCCACTTAAAAAATACACACACAAAAACACTTAATGGAAATCTATAAAGCAATTTTTTAAGGTTTCCAATACTTCCTGAAACGTTTAAATATAATAAATTATTCAATAGTCCTCTCTCTTTCAGTTTCATTAAGAAGAATTGCAGACCCAAAAAAAGTTAACTACATGTGTACCAACTTTTATCCGAGCACATTTGTTTTAATTATAAAGTCACGACAATATCCTAGCAGGCGATTATTCGAACACTTCCCAAGCCACATTACCACAAACAAAAATACTGCCCTTTTCTTTTGCTACAAATATTCCTAAGTTTAAAGCTCCTTTTCCCGACCTTATTAGAACTCAGCAAAAAGCACGTGCCAAATGATAATTTGGTAAAGTCGAAGCTTTCGCTAGACGAGCCAATCGAAAAATTACATTAACCACTACTACACAGCCGTCTAGGTTGGCAAGCTCTGGGCGCTAGAGGGCGGATCATTGCAGTGAGTTCAATTGACTATTGAAATGATGAGTACAACAAGGTCAACTGTACATCTATGACATCATCACGACGACAACTACGGTACGAAGAAATTAGAAACATTCCTATTATAAAACCGTCAATAATTCTTAGTGATAAACGCAATTAAATTAATGTTCATAAATTTATTACAATTATTATTCCACAAAAATCCGGCCAGGTACTGCTATACGATCGTGATTTCAGACAGCAAGTTAAAATAAAACATCAAATATGTTAGCCACCACGTGCCCCGTCAACGAACATGCTCACCAGTTTAGCGGCTATAATGTGATGCTCAATCCAATTATTCACTGCTAACGTAGGACATCTGGTGCAGATATTCCACAAGTAGCTTTGCGTGAAATTCCAAATAAACCAAAGTGATAACTATGAGGGGTTAAAACACTAAACTTCGAGGCACTATCCCTACAATTAGCACAGCGCAGATGTGTATAATTAACTAGCCACATTGTTTCAACAGTAGTACTGCCTCTAAGATCATTTTCGTGTTACATTTTATAGTGAAACGCTCATATTCTTATTATATTTGTAGATTATCAAAACACTCAAACAGCTTCTTTTTTTTTTCTCGCGGAGCATTTTATTTAAAAGGTGTAATGTTAATTATTTTTTTATTGTTGCCTCATATATTTATAAATAAAAGTAATGAATCGATTAATGCAAATCTAATGTTAGGCCTCAAAACGCAGAAATATGTCATTGTTATGAAGTTATAGCCTTGTTACCCGGTGTTCAATACGAAGAAAGTAACTCCAGCTAAAACCTTAGGCTTAGTTTTGATTTCCTTATTTGGGTAATCTTACACGGTAACGCAGGTGTCACTTACATCATCAAATGTGGCCAATGAAGATACTAGAGTCAAGTTTTAACGTTGACCTGATTTTTTTAAATTCCATAGTTTTTCATAAATATATAAAGTTTGAATTTGACAACAATGACAGCATCCCATTCCTGTTTTAGCTAAAAATACAAGTTGTAGTTATTTGACAATGTAAATGAAGAATGTATACGTATTATAAACTTACTTTTGAAATATTTTCCTCTTAAATTTAAATCAATTTTCAACGAA